AGGAGCTTCTTCCGGGTCTCCCACATGGGTACAGGGGCTCAATAACTTTGGCCATCTTCTACTGCTTTCCCAGGCTACAGCAGAGAGATGGATCAAAAAAGGAGCAGCCGAGACTCGAACCAGTGCCCATATAGGATGCCGGCACCGTAGGCAGAGGATTAACTTACTGCACCACAGCACTGGCCCCTTAAATGAATTCTTTTAACGAAACAGAGCTGCAAGTAATACATAAGATTAAACTGTTATTGTTTGTATAACACAATCCAGGATGTTTGAATTAAGGCTTGGGAAAAGAAAAGACAACATCAGATTTGTTAACTATTCTATCACTTGTCAGACTTTTCAAGTCTGTCTCTCAGCAGATATTTATTGAGTTAAATAAATATCTCAGATCTTGACTGTGGGGATTTGAAGATGATTAAGACACAGACTTTACCCTCAAAGTTTGGCCAAGGAGACACACACAGGTACACTAAATATAGTGCAGTGTCATACGTTATAACTAAATCATGTGGACGGAACTAGAGGAAGGAAGAGAGGAAATCAGGAAGGCTTCTCAGCTGAAGTCACACTGAGTTTAGTCTTCCAGGGTGGATTCATAGGAATTCAACAATCAGAGAAAAGGAAATGAAAGGAAAACAAAGGCTTGGAAATCTTGACAGGGATAAGGTAGTCAAGCAACACAGTGATTTAATGGGATTACTGTGTAGAATCTGGGATCAGGATTGTAGGGGTAACTGGAAGTGAAGGCTCTGTGTGCTACATTGGTGCAATCTTGTACCCATGGGGAGGGTTGAATCATAAGCAGTAAACAGAATATCAATTGTTTTATTAGAGCTTTGACTTCAAGTTGAGAAGAACAGGGAGCTTTGCTGGGTTTTGGTGAAGGAAGGACATGATCAGATTTGAATTCTAAAAGGCTCATTTTCCTTAGCAGATGAAGAAGAGATTTATTGCAGGACTAAGAGGTGAGAGGTTCAGGCAAAACTGAAGGCAGGGACACCAAGCATGAAGTTTGTGTAACCAACTGAAAAAAGACCTAAGACTACAGCAAGATGGATACAGGTGGGGATCTGGAGACACAACTGGTATAGAGAGACTTAAATTAGGATTGAGATACCAATAGCAGGTCTTGTTGGTACCCTGAATGAGAGGGATGATTAATAACTAAGTCCTAGTCAATGGGAAGTCTTCCCATAGGTATATATAACAGACAATCCTACCTGGCCAGAAATTACAAGTCTATAGCTGGCAGTGTAGTCTTTTATTATTGGCAGTCACAAGATCAACGGAAAATAAGTGAGTATTTACCATGAGGGACAATGGCAATCTCTACCACCCATACCCATATTAGAGGGTCACCATTTTTGTCATCCTTTTGTCTTTCTCTATAGTAGAGGAAATTGTGAACTCTTCACAGCCAAGATTGGTTTCTTCTTATTGTATCTACAATAATACCCACGAGAGCCTGATATATAATAGGAAATGAACAGTCTTGCTCTTGCTTACATGTGTCATGTTCTCACTCCCATTGAGCTTGGTTCAGTCTACCTTTTGCTTATTCATATCCATTACTCTCAGATTCCTGCCATTCCTTCATAGATTAGCTAAGGATGTTGGCCCTACGGCAGTTACTTCTTAGAACGTGGTCAAATGTATTTTCATTGTGAAAAGAGGAGGCTAAAATAGCACACACACACACCCTTATAGTTTCATTAACATGTGGTTTAAAAAGCATCATCTAAACTTGATAATCTTCCTTTGGATGTATGATCACAAGGTCAACAGTAGCCTAATGCCACAACACAATGTATCTGTCATTCACTTTATTTCATCACATCACATAGGCATTGTATCATGGCACAAGAAGAGTGAACATAATATAATATTTTGAGAGAGAATAACTTTTGCTAAGTATGTTGTTATAAATATTGTATCTTATTATTAGTATTGTCAGTCTCTTACTGTGCCTAATTTATAAATTAAATTTTTTGTATGTTTAGGAAAAAACATAGTATATATAGCACTCAGGAACATTGGTGGTTTCAGCCATCCAATGGGCATCTTGGAATGTGTACCTACATTTTTAAAAATTTGTTAATTTTAAAAGATTTATTTTATTTATTTGAAAGGCAGAGTAGCAGAGATAAGGGAGAGAGAGTGAGAGAGGGAGGGAGAGGGAGAGAGAGGGAGAGAGAGAAAACGCAGTCTTCCACTTGCTGCTTCACTCCCCAAATTGCCACAATGGCTGGGGCTGGCCAAGCAGAAGGCAGGAGTCTAGAACTCCATCAGGGTCTCCCACATGGGTAGCAGGGGTCCAAGTACACAGGCCATCCTCTGCTACTTTCCCAGGCACGTTAATGGGGAACTGGATTGGAAGTGGAGCAGCCAGACTCAAGCTGCGGCTCATATGCGATGCTGGTGTTGCAGCATCGGCTTAACACACTGTGCCACAATGCTTCCCCATCCCCAATCAAATTTAATAGAACTTCCAAAGTGTGCAAGATAAATAAATAATGAAGGTAAAAATCAAAATGAAATTATAATATATCAACCATTTTTATTACAAAGATGGAGGAAATATTTAAAAAATGAAAAACAAAAGCATGGATTTATTTTAAATGTATTAAGGAAGATGAAAAATTAGCAGTTTTTTTTTTCAGAAACCTTCTATTTAAGGAATACAAACTTCATGCATTTCATAAATACAACTTTAGGAACATAGTGATTTTTGAAGCTGAAAATCTATGATAATTGTATAGTTTAGATAGAAATTTTAAAAAGTCTAAATTTAGGATGGAGGTTGGAGACAACACAATTTCATTACAAGGATGAGACTGCATTTACCCATTTAGGTCTTGTTTGATTTTAGGACCTTTTGATTTTAGCTATAACTGTAATTTATCAACACTTATCTTCTATTTGCTTGGACCTTGGGAATCAACTTCTTTATGCATCATGAATTTTTATCCTTTTCCAGAAAATAAACAGGTCTAAGTGAACACATTGTAAATGTGACAGTGAGTTTATAAATGGTTGAAACATTTTTACAAAGTAAAATGGAAGGCATTTATATATTTTAATTCAAAACAATAAAATTTCTTACCCCACCCAGATTTAAATTATCCATAATCTACCTACAAAGAGTGATATTTATTTAAATGTGTGTAATAAACACTACTGAGTGAATTTTTCATCTTTCAAAATGTATATAAAAAAGTATATGAAATTTCTACTTGACATGATAATGCCATACCAGGAACCGATGAAAATTGAAAGTGATGTAAAGACAAGTTCAATTTTTTTTAGGCTTTAGGAAGATAAATAGTTGAGAAAGAACTCTTCACACCTGCTAGTAACCCAGTCTCTAGGCTCACCCAATTCTATAAAGCAAACAAATCAGATATTACCTTGAGAAATACAAGTTTAGATGGATGTAAGGCACTAAATGGACTAAAAACTTCTTCACATAGTCTCCCTTCCCATTTAACACCTATGTAACTTCCTTAAAAAAGACTTATTACAGTATTGATCAGTCATTTGAATTTCTGAAGCAATGAAATTACTGTGCATAGAGACACAGCATATATCCCTCACACTTCAAACTTCTGGAAATACTCATATCTAGAGAGTTTTAAGTAAAAGCATCATTCTATCCCTAAAACTCTGTATTTAGTAGGAATATATCCTAGAACTTCTTTGAATTTTTCCAGAGGTTACGTAGGATGGTGTTTTCTTTCCAATACATACGGACAATCTTTTTATGACAGCTGTTTGAAAGAATAGATAAGAATGCATTCTTACATAAATTTTTAGCTTCTTCCAAGGTGTGTACAGAGCAAAGAACCAAAGGACAACATGGTAACTATTAAGAAAACAAATAGTTGGCATTCCTGCCATTGCACATTACCTATGAGAACACTGGGTGTTGGGTCTTGAAGCAGATAATTGAGAAAGTGTGTCTGTTTTGGAGTAGAAAGAGCCAAGGAATGCTAGAATAAGTCCAGCACTCAGGACTCACCATTGTGTGGTGTGGACCAGATGGCTGGCAAGGCAACTTCAGCGCAGTGTGCCCTGTGCCATCAGTACCCAGGTGCTAGACAGTCACAGGGAGGAGACTCTGCCCTCCCAGGTGAAACAAAGAAAGAGCAAGTCCTCGTTCACATTCAGGTGTGAGAGATACCAAGCATCCAAGAGAAACCTCCTGGTGTTCTTAGTTCTGAGGCAGAGCTACCTCCCTTCCATACACCCATATACTACCAAAGCATTTGAACTCAACTCAAAACAATTGTTATCAGTAATATTTGGCGGGGGTGGAGGATGTCTCTTGTGCCTGTAATAACCTGATTTAAACCTCTGGATCCCTAATTAGGAAAATTCATCCAGCCAAACATTTCAAGGAGTTCCAAGGCCTCTGGAGACTATCCACAAACCCAAGCCCAGAGACCCTGGGTTTGGAATCCTTGGTCTTGAAATCTCTACTGCTCAGAAGGTCTCCAATGTTACCTCATATTAAAATGAACTGGAGAACTTAAAAAAAAAAAAAACTTTCCGGGAAAATTCCTTTTCCAATTAAATCAGAATGTCTGGAGATGGGACCCAAAAGTCAGTATATGTGTGTACTAAACTCTCGGAGAGTTTCAAGGTGCAGCAAAGCTTCAGAACCAGCGCACAGGTCTGTGTTCATCATGCAGTTGGTGTAAATGCTCTGCGGTCATTGCTGTTACAAAATCATTGCGTCAAAAACAACAAGAGGACGTCTGCCACAGAAGTAATTTGCCTAGAATTATCTTACCGAAAAGAAGTAAGGTTAGGTCAGGGTGCGTGTGACTTGGCCACGCTTTCCTTAATGGACAAGCAAGTGTAATTCCTTCTGTGAACGCCAAGGGGCGCCCTCTGTCTCCTCGCCGTACCTGGAACGCCTGCCCTTTTCCGACCGCACAAAGAGCCCGGCCTCCTCCCGGGTGACATCACAAAGAGCCGGTCCCCCGCCCCTTCGGCGCCACCACGTGTGTCCCCGCGCCCGGCGGCCACTCGACTCAGTCCCTCGCCGGCCGGTCTGGGCAGAGGAGGAGGGTGGTTGGCAGTGGCTGGAAGCTTCGCTATGGGAAGTTGTTCCTTTGCTCTCTCGCGCGCAACCCTCCTCCCTGCTTCTCCGCTGCCGCTGTCGGAGGAGAGCACGGGGAGGCGCGGGCTGCATCCGCGGCTGCTTCTCCCCGCCCGGGCAGCCACGCCGCTGGGCAGGTGCTGAGCGCCCCCAGAGCCAACCTCGCCGCCTCCCGCCTCTGCCCGGCTGCCCGGCTGCCGCAGTGCACATGGGGTGTTGGAGGTAGATGGGCTCCCGGCCCGGGAGGCGGCGGTGGATGCGGCGCTGGGCAGAAGCAGCCGCCGATTCCAGCTGCCGTGGGGCCGCGCGCCCCGGGCGCCCCTGCAAGCCCCGGGCTCAGCCATGGGGACCTCCGCGAGCAACAGCACCACCCTCGCCCCCTGCAGCCGCGTCGCCGGCCGAACTAGAGCCACGATGATCGCGGGCTCCTTTCTCCTGGTGAGCGCTCGCGGGGACCGGGGGTGGCGGCCGCGCCGGAGGTGCTCTCCAGCAAGCGGGGCGGGTCCCTGGGCCGGGGCTACGGGAGGTGTGGGGTCGGGCCGGCTGGGTTGGGGGTTTGCAAGGGAGAGCAACACAGCCAGAGGGCTCTATGTAGGTCGTTTGAGGGAGTCTCAGAGCCCGGTAGTGACCCGAGAATGAAGGCGAATTGTTTTCCTTGCGCTGGAGGTGTGCGCCAGGCTTCCTGCGCATTTCAGGGCTTTCGTCCTCCTTCGGCCTACCTCCCACTGCCAACACCTACACCCACACCCACCCCTCACCTTCACGTCGCTCGGCCGACGCCCCACGAGCGGTGTGGGGCCGCGGCTGCGGTGCGGGGCGCTAAGGCTCGCCGCGGCCCCGCTTTGTTGCACTGCAGTGTCATGTCGGGATGCTACCGCAGCGGGCACAGCGGCACCGGTGCGCGCCTGACACCAGAGACCCTGAGCGGGGCGCGAGCCGCCACCGCCTCCCTCCGGCCTTCCACCCCCCACTCTCCCTCTTGGCTCGGGTGGGTCCCAGTGTCTGCACGCCAGAAAAGAACCCGTAGACCCACTCCCAGGCGCCTCTAAAGAGCGGGCTGCCAGCCAGCCAGCACGCTGGCATTCCCGTGGGGGGAGGGGACAAGAGATCCGCCTAAAGAAAAATGAATTCTCTCCAGTTTTTCCTATCCCTTATGTACCTGTGACCATGCAGGTGATCCTGCAAGGGGACATGGGTGCTTAACCACCCCAGCTGTATGCACATCTGGAGCCGTGCTCTGTACCTAGTCCTCCATCACTTACCTGGCCAAAGCCTGAAACCACCCTTGACCCAAAACTTAACCTCGATTTCCCCTAAATCCTTTTCTCTTATTTCTAAATGTTGGAGTGAGGGGGGCAGTTTGGTGGAAGAAAATTTGGGTTCTAGCCCATGCTTTTTAGCTCTGCAGAGAAGGTGGAGATTGCTAGTTAAAAAAATAAGCAAAAACAGAACAAGAGCCTGTTTTCATTGCAGGGCTGTGTAAGGGAAAGGCCGGCTTGCTGTCTCTTTATCCACAGGGCTGAACGCCTGGCCAGCCAAGATCTGCTTAGATCCCAAGGCAGTGCAGTTGCCATGGCCTGGGAATTCATCCTACAGACACTCTGGTTCCTTGTGTGTGTTTTAAGGGGATGAGAGAGACTAAAGAAAAGTTTGTTGCTGTAAGCATTTATAATGAGGCAAATCCCAGTTTTCCCTTGGGAGACTTTTCTGCCCGTTTATTGTAATGGGAATTTCAAGATTTTGTATCCTTGGAATAAGTGTGGTGGTGTAAGCAATAGTGAGGTTTCTCTGGGACAGTGAACCCAGATTGGCAGTCTTGGCATACAAAGAAATGCACCTGGGTACACAGAACCTTGCATCAGTGGAGTTAAATCTATCTTGAGTTCCCACTGCTCTAACCCACGACATGTTTGTTGGGTGCCTCCAACTCATCTGATTGTTCTACTCTTCATAGACCCTACTCTCAGATTAAATCTTTAGTCATTGTGCAATATTTTACCTTTTAGTGTTAGAAGGGTGCTTAAAGGAAAACCTCAATGTAACCAAAGAGTAGGTTGCTTTATCTGAGAAAGGACCCAGCTCCTTATTGTAAATCATCAAATTCAGCGTATCCCAAAACTGTGCACTGGATTTGCAACTGAAGACCTGAGAATATATTTGGCTGGTTTTTTTTTTTAAGTGGAATTTATAATAAGGCTTAGAAGCAATGTCAGTGTGATAACCAATACAGGATTCATTATTCTTCTGCTAACCCTAGTAAAAAGGCTTTCCTTAAATATAAAGAAATGCCATGAGATTGAAGCCATCATTCTGAAAGGTGACTGAGACAATGTGCAAGGATCATCGGGGACTACGTTGTCACCCTCCACCGGCCTGAGGAAGAAGCGTTTTTGTCTTTCCCATCCCCACTCTGCATGCCCTAGTCCTCAGAACAGGTGTTGTTACTGGGTGAAATGATGATTGTTTGAAGCAGGATTTGTCCTGCTGGCACTCTTTCTTGGCCACTGCAAGGGATTTGGTGCTGGGCACATTGGTTAAGACTCTGTTTGGGATCCCATATCTCACATCAGAGTGCCTGGGTTTGAGTCCTGGCTCTGCTTCAGGTTCCAGCTTCCCGCTAACATACACACTGGGAGGCAGCAGATGATGGCTCCAGGTACTTGGGTTCTTGCTACCTACATGGGAGACTCAAAATTGGGTTGAAGTTTCCTGTCTTTGGCCTGGCCTAGCACTGGCTGTTGCAGGCATTGGAACCAGTGGCTGAAAGAATTCTTTCTGCTTTCCAATAGAATAAATGAATATATATATATATATATATACACATACATATCTATCTATCTATCTATATATAAATGACAGGCACCAAGTACTAGAGTCTACATAAAACATAATAGGATACCTTGAGCACTTTTGGGGAAAGTGGAGAGATTAGTGATGTGTCCATGTATTGTAGTCAGATTGAAAAAATGAAAATTTCAATGACATACTCTGTTGATTGTGGCTTTCAGTTACTTCTCTTCATCAAGTATAACCTTTTTTGTGAGACAATCTTTTGCCATCATTTTTGTGACACTTTTTTGGGTCATGATAGGCTAACTACATGAAAGACAGCTTACTGTAAGCTTTAAAGTACTTATATGTCATTATTTATTTACACAACATAATATATATCTAGCACACATATGTGTATATATGGGGAGAGAGCACAATTACTGTTATTATATTCTGTTTCAAATAAAATTATTATATTGCTGTGTTCTAAGTGCTTATATGTAGTATATCATTTATTCGCAACATGCCGGTGAAGTAGGTGGTATTGTCTCCATTTTTTACAGATGAGAAAACTAAGGCTCCAGGAACTCCACTGGTTTGTCCTGGGTCACACAGCTTGCACATGGTGGCACTGGGGGCTGGAACCTGGGGCCTCCTGACTTAGTTCATGTTCTCCTTCACTCCTGTGCCACAGTGCCTATTTCACAACTCCAAATTGCTTGATAACAACATGTAGGAACCAAGAAGGCTCACTGGGGGAAAGTTGAGATGGTGTTGGTTTGCCGCAGAACATAAATGAGACTTACACGAGAGCCTCTGGAAAGGAGGTATTCCTGCCCCTCTCACTTCTGTTTGTATTGAGTTGAAATGCCTGTGTGATATTAGCAAGTAAAACACAAACTAAAACACAAGCTTTGTGTTCCAGGCCGAAAGTCTGGAGACAAAATCAGTGAGACCAATAGGTTTGTGCCAGTGTTAAGGAATGCCCTAGTTGGGCTTGTTCAGTGTGACACTGGACAGTTAATTGCCTCTGGCCCTCAGAGAGCTTCCTTTGCACAGAGAGATTGCTGGCCATGGGGCAGTCAGAAGAGAACGGAGCCATAATTTATAAAGAGAGTGGGTCTGAGGTTTTAGAAACTGCTACTTTGCATGCATTATAGATTCCAAATAGACAGTCATTTGCTGTAATAGCCTGTCCAGTTTGCCTAGAAAGTGTCACTGTCATTGACACTAGATACCTAGTTTAGTGCTGCTTCCTGACTTTCACTTATCACAGTCAATGTCCTGTTGTTCTGGCATTTTGGCTATTTAACTAGGCAGGTATGGGTGGTCTGATGGGGACTGGAGTCCTGAATCATGTCCAGACTTGGTGGCAAGTTCAAGTAGAAATTTTAAGTACAGCCGATATTATATCCAAAAGACTGTCTCCTTTCTAAAGCTTTATACCTTTTCTCTATGATCTTAGAAAGTGAAAGCTGGAAGGAAGCATATAACTCTACTGTTTTAACACCCTGTATTTGTTGGTTGAGGGAAAGAACAGTCTATGTTGAGGAAGTGCCTTATTCTTCATGCTAACAAACATCTGCATTGAGCACCCTGTCTGAGCAAGGTTCTATCCTAGGGATGAATTGGGATTTGGATTTTGCCACAAACGTTCAATTGTGTAATATATAAAATGTTGTACCAATGGTATATGATACATAAATGGCATATAAAGTGTCCATGGCCATCAGCAATACTGGTTGGTTTTTACTTGCTCTTATGGGATCAATGGATGAATTTGTTTTCTTCAGGGTAATACACAAAATGTGGCTGATGTAAAAATCTTACCTGAAATCACTCTGAAAGTCCGAGAATGAAAACACTTCCAAGTCTCAGAACAATATACATTATATTCCATGGAGAAAGTGACTTATGGGAAGTCGAGAATGGGGACCCAGAACCTGGACTGAAATGAAGGATTCCTGACATATCCCATGAGTCATTCCTATAGTCAAAATGTATAGAGTTGGATAAAATTTCCCATCATAATTGTTTCTTAAGGCATATCTTTGAAACTGCCTCAGGTCCAGTCTAGAACAAACAAATGAACCTCCAATGTAAATAAACTATACAAGTAAACTAAATCAGCAAGAAAAAACTTCCTTGTACTGGAATTTATACTAACTTGAGAGAAAAAAAAAAAGAAGACTAAATAGGCATAGATCCACCATCCACCAATTGCCTATGCTACACATTTTAGCATAGCTAGATGTGAACAAAGCTTATCATGCTGGACATCATAAGCACGGTTAATGCCATATTTTCCAGGGTAGTTTGCAGACAGTTCCTTTCTCCCTGTGTGTCCTTACCAGATAGAAGCAAGCAGATGTGAACGCCTGTGTACTTTCTACCTGGTAGATCAGAATGAGGAAACAGCACATTTCAACTGTGTGCCTTCTAAGAAGATGTGCAATAAAACCTCCGGAGGCTCCATAGGCAAGTTGCAAGCTGGTTTTGTGCTTGCTTAGCCAGCCCTTTGTAAAGCTTACAAACTGTAATTGGCTTAGATAAAGTTGATTCACATTTCTGTTGTTGGTGGTGATGGGAAATGGTCCAGTGCATCATCAGACTATTCAGAGGTTGAAATGAAGTGAGTGACTTTTCCTAAACGACTATGCCTCTTT